CCACTTCTTCCAACCTGTGTGTATAGTTCTTTGTAGTGTGACTCCGTGTATAGCACTACAGTGCAGCCACCACCACACTTGTGATACAGAACTGCTCCTTCACACAAAAGACCTACCTCATTTCTACTCCTTTACAGTCACGCCGGCCCCTTACTCCTGTTGCTATTGTTTGGAAACCACTAATCTATTCTCAATCTCTATAATTTTGTTATTAACGTGGGTCTTTAAATTTCTTTAAAGGTAGAAGGAGGAAGAGAAAGGTAAAGTCACTGCTCTTAAATCTCTGAAATATTTTATAATGAAGCATATTTGAAAGAAAAAAGAAAATTAGAAACTTAATATATGGCATGTAATGTTTGAAAAAATTTATATGCAGAAATAAAATTCTAGATGTAAATACTGTAAAATGTCAGCAAATGTTCTTTCAGAGTGGGGCTATAAGTTCTTTTTTTTTCCCCCCGCTTATCTGGGCTTTTATTCACTTCTCCAGATTTTTACAAATGAATGTATATAACTCACCAACAGGAAAACATTTGCAATAAAGAGGTACAATGTCAACTTTTAAATGTTTGTCTGTTTCTCCTCCAATGTACAGACACAGTTCGTCAACATTTTTGCAAGTTTTACTATAAAAAATGTTTAAAAGAACCCACGTGCCATCCTCCCTTACCTACTGCCAAATTTCCTGCTTAGTTCCTTCACTGATCAGTCAGAAGGTTTAAAATCTGTAATTAGTCTGAACTCAGTCAGGCAATTTGTTGAAAATGGCACCATCCTGTACTTCATACAAATGAGGGCAAATGAGCTTCTGGGATCTAGATATAATTTTCTGACATTTGTAAAGAATGAAGGTGTTACAGAAAAAAAAACATTCATACCACAAACAAGAAAGAAAATATCAAATGTTTATAGAAAAATACAGAATAAGCTGAGGAAAATATGAAGACATTTTGTAATATTTGTAAAAGCTTAGTGTTGGTGATTTATAAGATTCCTGCGATGGAGTTGCAACAACAGCCTCTGAGCTGGGCTGCCCAGGTACAAATCTCTGTTCTGCATTCTCCAGCTGTGACCTTGGGCAGGTGTGATGTTGTGAAAATCACCTGATAGAATGTGCAAAAGAAGCACTTACCCAGCGGGCTTAGCATGTACTGCATGCTCAATACACGTTCACCGTTATTACTGCCATAACTTTACTCAAATATGTGTTTGTGGTTGGGCCTTTAAGTCCCTTTAAAAAAAAATACTGCCATTTGCAGTCTTCGAAGTAAATATAAAGGGTCAGGCAAAACCAAAACACAACATAAACGTCTTTAAAAAAACAGTTCACACTCTAGCCTGGCCAACAGAGTGAGACTCTGTCTCAAAAAAAAAAAAAACAATTCACACAAACAATGAAACATAACCATGTGTGATAAACGAGAATTAGGCATTACAACTGCGGGTAGTAAGGTGAGTGAACGGAAAATGATTAGGGACCTCTGTTGTCAACACTGGTAAATCCAAGCTCCTATGCTCTGGCCAAAAGCAACCCTTCTCATTCATTCAATAAATCTGTACTGAGCCAAACACTGTGCTAAAATGCCGGGATTCAGCAGCAAAGAAGGCTCTCTCGGAGTTTATTCCATGACCCTCTGGCTAGAGAAACTATATCCTACTCAGGACAATGGCTGGTCATGATTTTGATGTTCTATCTCAAGGACAACAGTCAATGCTTTACATGTTGGATACATTTGGTCAACTATGTGGTACATCATACTTTGAGCACCATGAACTGGTCTTGAAACATTTTTAAGCCTGACCAATTTCAATAAATTTAAAATTTACACAGACCAGACAACAAAGTTAAAAATAAAAAATAACACAAAAAATTTTAACTACTTAATATTAAAAGGTACAATTCCCAAATAACCCCAAAATAATAACAATGAGAACATTATATGAAGACTTATGAGCATGCAACTCCAGTTTTTTCCAATTTGGAAAACAAACTTATTATAAAGCACTCTCAAAAAAGCAGTGTAATCCGCAAAGGTTGAGGTGGGACAATTAATTGGATGAAGAAAGAGAAAAGAGGATATTGGAATATCTGCATGTGAAAAGCCTCCCTGAAGATTATAATTAGCCTCCCTCCCCACTCCTCTGCTGGTTTTGAGAGAAAGAC